TGAAAAACAACATATCTTTTTTTTATGACTAGTGTTGAGACCATTGGATTGACTTAAGGTCGATTCCTTCTTGGTGCATTTCCCAAAGAGGACTGGAAACAAGCAAAATTGACGGTTGTTAAAGAAAATTCATGATCAGACTGAACACAAATGATAAACCAGAAAGTGGTTTCTTACCTCATTTCTCTCAATCTTTCGACATGTTTCATGACTCTTTGTGCAGTATACTCAACTTCTTCCATAGTTGTAAATCTCCCAAACCCGAACCTGAATTATTTAAAATATGGAGAGTGTTAATTAGATTTATAGAAGAGTATATACAGAGGCTAACTTTTAATCAATAAATACCGAATTGATGAATGAGCAAGATCCTCATCAGCACCAATGGCTCTTAAGACATAGGATGGCTCTAAGGATGCTGATGTGCATGCACTTCCACTTGAAAGTGCAATATCTTTTAAAGCCATCAATAAGGACTCTCCTGCCAAGAAAAAAAGAATTATGTATTTAGTACAGGTAAAACTTATTACTAAGGTAAAATAGAATTGAATAAAATATTCTTAAGGCAAACCTTCAACAAAGGCAAAGGATAGATTTAGACAGCCTGGGTAAGTATGTTCCACATCTCCATTACGAATTACTTCTGGCATGGATTCTAACCGTTTCAAAAGATGATTTGAAAGTTTTTCCATCCATTGGTGATCATACTGGGTCCATTAAAAAATAAAAATAAAAAAATAAAATAAATTATGGCAGATACAGATTATTTAAGGTTCCACACCTCACCCAAAACCGAATGTATGGTAAAAATTATACCTTCATCTCTCGCTTTGAAATAGAACAGGCCTCTCCTAAGCCAACAGCAAGTGCTGTGGGAACTGTACCACTTCGAATTCCTCTTTCCTGCCCACCACCACTCTGCAGAGGTTCAATTCGAACTCGAGGTCGACGTCGAATGTAAAGTGCACCTACACCTGTGTTGAAAAATGCCTAAAATATAAGAAGAACTTCTGAACAATAGAAAAGAAATGGGGGGAAACTGCTTGGTTGACAAACCTTTAGGTCCATAAAGTTTATGTCCACTTATGGACATCAAATCAATATTCATCTCCTGAACATTAATTGGTATTTTCCCTATGGCTTGGGCTGCATCAGTATGGAAGAAAACTTTTCGTGACTTGCATAATTTACCTGAAATAGAGTGTGTTTATGTCACCTAGATTTCTTTTACTGAAATGCAATTCATTTGCATTGCATGTTTTAAATAATACTTTGAGTAACTACTCACCAATTTCAGCTATCGGCTGTTTGACTCCAATTTCATTATTCACGCTCATTATAGACACTAGAGAAGTGTCTGGCCTGATAGCTGCCTCGAGTTGCTCCATATCAACAAGACCAGTTTTAGTGACTGGAAGATATGTAACTTCAAACCCTTCACCTTCTAAGGCTCGACATGAGTCCAGCACACATTTATGTTCCTAATAATTCATAGACAAAAGTAAACATGATTAATCATCCATGAAAATTAGAGTTAGCAGATAGTTTCAGTCATGGAACTTAGTTAATGCTTACAGTTTGCGTGGTTATGACATGTTTTTTGCTGCGACTATAAAATCTTGCAACACCCTTCACAGAAATATTATTAGATTCTGTGGCCCCAGAAGTAAAAATTATTTCTTTTGGGTCACTTCCGATGAGATCAGCAATTTGCTGCCAACAAAAAAAACGTATTCATTATGATTGGACTAGATTTATTATAATATGGTAACTTATGAACAGAACCGAAATTTTACCTTTCGAGCCTTCTCGACTGCCTTTTCACTCTCCCATCCATAAGCATGGGTCCTAGAATGAGGGTTTCCATAATAGGATGTCAAATAAGGAAGCATTGAGTCTAGAACCCTTGGATCCTTAAAGAACAAACAATCACAACAGTTAAAATAGAGATAGAAATGATGAAAATATGTGAAAAAAATAATAGAAATACCAGTGGTGTTGTAGCTTGAGCATCTAAATACAGTGGCCTTCCTTCCAAATCTTTGGAAATTTCTGAAAAATAAAATAAAGAAACATGATAAACTAATATCCCGTATTCAAAACTGCAACACAGGTATCAAAGAGGGAAGAAAATCGAACATGTACCTTTATTGGACGATTCTTTGCAACGATTGCTGCACAATGTTATAAATGCACTAGGGATATTTAATGGAATGTCTGTCTTTGAGAGTAAAGCTCCATAACCTTTCACACGTGACATTTGTCCCAGTGAGCTCACTCTGCCAACATTAACAACGCTTTGAGCTGATCGAAACATGATGGAACAATAACTTCTTATTCGTTTAAGTCCACCAAAATGTTATCATTCAAAATCCTTATTCTTGTTGCACAATCTTTCACTGTCTTTCACAACTAATGCCGATGCCGCTGCTCTAGGGAGCCATATTTTGTTTTTCCCTTATCTGAATCCAGCGGCTATTGGTCGAGAGACACATTCACATTCGTGAACCACTCAATGAGAAATTTAGATGATTGACGATTGACCTAGGACTTCCCTAGCTTTGCCTACCTACTCCTCACCAATTCCCATTTGCGTTTTCGATGTAGTTTTTTTTTTCAGCGAATATATTCGTTGCGTTCCTTGCACTGGATGCTCGCTCAGTAAAAAGGAGGCCTATGTTGCTATACCGATTCGATTTTCATGCGAGATAAAGAAATCAACACATTGCTCACGTCTTCTCAACCTGGTGCTGTCCTCTCCCCCGGTACCCACCACCACCACCACCGTGTGCCCTTCTGGTGGTGGTGGTGGTGGTGGTGGTGGTGATGGTGGGGGCCGTGGTGGGAGCGGCGTAAACGCAGGATGACGGACGCGGGTTTGCAAAGAAAAACAAGTGATCGAGACGTCAGTCGAGAGCCGCCATCCAAAGCCACAGGAGCCACAGCCCCCCCCCCCCCCGGGTGAGGACGAGGACGTCAAGGCCCCTTTCGGTTCACCAGCGCCACGATGATGCTGGCCGTCATGCAGGCCGCCTTGCTTCTGCTGCTGCCGCTGGCCGTGCCCGCCCGCGCCCGCCTCCTCCAAGGTGTGCGGCTCGGACCACCGCACCTACGACAGCGACTGCCACTTGGAGTGCGCCGCCGTGCCTGGTCAGTCAGTGCCGAGCAGGACGTCGGCCTGGAGACGACTGCGACTGCCGTGCTAAAGGTCGCGCTGTCCCCTAGGTCTGTCGCTGCTCCACCCCGGGCCGTGCTCCCCGGTGGACGCCGACGCCGCCCTAGCCCTACTGACCGTCGAGACCACCGGCCGCCGGCGCCGCCGCTCGGCCACCGAGGAGATGAAGAAGTGGGAGGATTGCAACAATGAACGGCAGGTGAGTGCGGGTGAGTGAGTGTGTGATGGAGAGAGAGGAGAAATAGGGGCGGGCCGACACCCGCTCTCCTCCTGCCTGTGTTGCAGTGCGGTGCAGCGACCTGCAGCGAGTGCGGCAAGCGCAAGGACGACGCACCGTGCAAGCACATGTGCACCGTGAACTGCTGGTGCGGCTGCGGCGGCCAGCCCCGCGGCGGCTCGGACTTCGACCTCTGGCGGAAGTGCTACGACGAGACGGGGTGCAAGGGAAAGCGGAGCGCGTGCGAGGGGCGCTGCGGCACACGGGGCGGGACTGCGGGGACCAGTGCCTGCTGGAGGAGAACAAGTGCCTGTGCGAGTGCGTGCAGCAGGCTGGCGCCCCGGCCGAGGGTGTCACCTCCACCGGCTCTGAGGCTTCACGTGCCACAACCGAGAACCCCGACCTCGAGCCCGACCTGCCTAAGAGCGTCGTTTGCGAGGTGCTTGAAAGAAAATTTGTGGTTGAATTCCTATGACAGTCTCTTTATTTTGTTTATCACCACGCACTACGTTCTAGTTGTCTTCACCGCACAGCACCGAGTCACACAGCACTTCCACTCTGGGCAGTGCTGCCCTCAGCTTGTCCAGCTGTTTCTTGCAGTGTGGCTTGCTGTGGTCCACGGCCATGTCGTCCACGGTCCTGAGGAGCACGAGCTTCTTCAGCGCCGTCAGATGGCAGTCCTCGAGCATCTCGTGCAGGATGGCGCACTTCCTGGGCCAGTCCTGCAGCAGCACCGGCCCCGCGTTCCCCGGCCCGTTCCTCGAGGTCCCCACGTCCAGGTACAGCTCCTGGAGGGAGGCGCTGTGCAGGCGCAGGATCGCGACGAGTGCGTCGCGTGGCAGGCCGCAGCTCCCTTTGACGGTGAGCATCTCCAAGGTGTTGCAGCCCAGGGAGAACACATCGAAAAAGGGAGGATTGTCGTACAGGTAGTCGTTCTCGGCCTCGTTGACCACCGTGAGGCGCTTGAGGTGCGACGCGTCGAGCGCCGCGTACAGGTGGACAGCATGGGGCTGCAGCAGCTGCATGTTCTCCACCGTCGGCGAAGCAGCCAGGAGAACTTCCAGCGTCCAACCGGGGTCCACGTGGCAGTATACGTGGCTGAGCCGCCGCACCTGGGTATGGCAATGAGTCACATCAGTCAATTATACAATACTCTACAAAGAAGTGAAACGTGCCACGCAGGTTTTTTTCATCTAACGCCCTCCCTACCCAAATAAGGTACTAATCCAAAATTCGTTCAGTCATGAGGCGCCCTTCTCCCATGGTTCAGTCGCTCTAATAAACATTTTCTGTTTTGAAAATCAAACACAGAAAAAAAAACGTTGCACACAACCCTATGGTTTCTTTTCCAACATATGGGGAAAGAAACCATGACGATATCGCTAATTTTGGTAAGATCCATTGGGAAGGGCTTAACTGTTTTTGAGGCTTCATTTGTAGACATATGCGTGGTCATAAGCGCAAAAATTGTCGTGACTGTTACTTACCCCTTGAGCTTTGATATTCGCCAACCAATGAGACTTGTTCTCCAATCTTTGGGATGGAGCCGAAAGAGTGTTTAGTTTGAGGTCTACTCTTTGAAATATTTTGGTTGGTGCTACGACCGGTTTTTCCGCTTCCTTTTCCTCGTTAATCTGAAAATGTAATTAGTAATGCACAAATATTTTTATTTTTTTTGAGTAAAGTTTGTTTCTCAGGCAAGTTTTGCTCAAAAGCTAGACACGTCACGTACCATTTTTATACGCCCCCTGACGGACTGAACGAGGAGCAGGGCTTTTAGGATACTATGGTCATCGTTGGATGATTCCCAACTGACTGAATAACTAGTTCCAGCCCCTTTGGACTCCACAGTCACACGCCAAGAGCTCCCCGCCGCCGACATCTCCCCCACCACGTTTAGTGCACTGAGAATTTGCTCCTCATTGCACTCCTCCGGACACACGTCAGTCAGCTTCACAGTTGCTGTAGGCATGACGTTCTTCACTAGGTTGCGGAACGCCGCCCGCAGGTTCTGGATGGTGTGAGACTCCTCGCAGGACCGAGACGCCACCCGACTGCAGTTCACGCACCACCACCTGCGTCGTGAAGACCTGGACAGATCAGAACAATAAGTAAAAGTCTCAGCACTATTGCTTGTACTCAGCTTGAAAAGCATACACAAGGCAACTGCACTTTCAGATGCATCAAGTGGTCAGAGTACTCTCCTCTGCACATCTACGTACTTATGAGCTGATTGCTGAAGTTGGCTCAGGACATAGTAGTTGTCAGGGAGGGTGGAGAGATCTCTCGGCAGCGCCTGGTGTGCAAAAATAAAACATTGGCCTGTGCTGGTGGAATTTAAAAAAAAACTCTGAGGGGTGCTTTACAAAAAGGATAAATTTATGGTATATGTAAAATTGTATGCCAACGGTGGCTGTTTTTGAAGACAGCATCTGAAAAGCGTGGAGGGGACTAGAAGTACGAACCTTACGACATTGAGGACAGAGCCGATCTCGAAGACGATGGATGCAGCGTTGACAGACAGTGTGACCGCACGGTAGAAACTTGGGCCTCCTTTCCTGCACGTCTAAGTTTTCAAGGCAGACTTCGCACTCCATCGTTACCGGTTACCGGAGGACAGAATGCACTGCAAATCGAAGGCTAATTGTAAATCTGTAAAATAATATCTTAAAAAAACAAAAACAATTTACACACGGTGCAATTGTACGATAGCGGTACCGTTAATTTACGGCAACAGACTATTTTGGATCGTTGAAGAATTCGAAGTTGGTACGTAGTGTCAATCATTTGTTATGCTCCCCCGAGGTGACGCGCGGTAAGGTCCAGAAAGTAAGTTCGTTTTTCCCAGATTCATTCGGTAAATAATTACTGCGTGAGCTCGGCGCCTGCGAGACTCAGGGTAGGCCACTCCGCAGTACACGCATGCACGGAAGACACGATGTTGCCTACCTACCAGGCGCTATGAGAGCTCGCCGAGGCTCAACTTGGTAGGTTCGTAAAACGCCCTGGGCCTCCGGGTCGAGGGGTACATTACTTTGACCAGTCACAGCACTAGGCCCAGACAAATCACTTTTCCAGTCGTTTCCCAGTCACCAATCAGTCGGAAAATTCGGGAGAAAATCACCTCCAGAGGCTCCAGTCACTATCTTATCCAACTCTAGTCACTTCTCTACTCTCGTCAAAGCATTTTTCAGTCATCAAGTCAGATTTGACTACAAGTCAGAGTACAGAGTACACCCATTTCTGAAGTAATGGAGCCTTCGCTCCAGGTGGGGTGGGCTAGGGGAGGGGTGGGCCGCCGTCTTCACACAGGTGCTCGGCGGGTTGGCCTACCTAGCTCACAGCAGGCGCTTAGTACCCAGTGTAGCTTCGTGAGATGTTCATTGCGGGGACATCTTAATCTTGACATGAATGAAGATATGCTTTCATGTGTCTGTTGAGAATACAGCGAATTTTACATCGAAAGCTAAAAGCTGTTATTCCTGCTGTGTACCTGACCCTGACCTACCTATTAGCTATCTATTACTTAAACATTTTTCGACGGTCCCTTGTGGTCTGTCTCTATACCCGAAGGTTAAAGTCGTTTGGAAAACAGCTACCATGCAGCTACGCTTTTCACGACGCGTAAGTTCCAATGTTCCGATCCCATAGAGGGCTCTGACTTTGGCTCCGGTGTATCGTATCGTATCATATGGGAATCCCCGAGCCCCGGGAAGAAAGTTGGCTGAGAACCGTGTTGTCTTTCATACAAATCCGAGAATTAGCATAAAAGAGATGCCAATATGTCGTTTAAAATCTAACTCATAAAATGCCAACTCTTGAATTAGTCTAGATCATTTTGTTGACAGACGCATTTGTATGTGGTTATAACAACAAGGAGCCGTTTGTCTATTGCTGTAAGGTACCCCGTCTCACAAAGGAAGTAAGTACGCATGTTGTGGCAGTTACTTACGCGCTTTCCAGTTCAGAAGTATTGTCACGATGAGAAAACTAGTCGTTGGCCGCCCAGGAACACAAAGGAATAAGTTAGGTTATGTACGGCGCAGTTCCCGCACCGTAATACATCTATTGCCCAAACACAGTTGCGATACTACACAACAACACAACATGAAGAGAAGCGTGGAATCCGGGAGCCTGGTCGGATCAGGGTACCGAACTAACCAGTCAGTCCGACGGGCCTGATTCAGAATCAAGAATCCAGCCAACTTCGCTGTCGACGCGCCGTGCCCACCCGGCTCAGGCTCAGTACTCATGAAACAGCTGTGCTGTGGCCGCGACGCGAGGGCGAGGCTGCGTTCGGTTTCGGTTTGAGACGACCCCCCCCCCCTTCCCCTCTCTCCGATCCTCTCTCCCTCTCTCGCGCGCGACCACCGGCTCCGCAACAAGATAAGCTGCGACCACTCCGGCACAGCTGCAGCAAAGGTTGACTCTCTTTAAGGCGTTGTGTTGTAGAGCCAACTGTCTCAGCGGCCAGATGCGATCAATTCAAGAAGGGGACCGTTTATTTATAAAGTTCGAAAATTAACTCAAAACAGGGGGGCGCGTGGAGTGGAGTGGGTAAGATTCAATGGACAGAACTGGGACGTACCTTTTAGTGACTTGTCTCTCAGGGGGATTATTTTAGATCAATGAGGTGGTTGAATGTAGAAATTGAAAAAAAAAAAAAAAAACAACTTTTCTAATTTTAATTCATTTGTACTTTAATACTGCGCATGGCAAATATAAATGGAATGAAAATGAACCTCACTAGCTCAATAACAATTCCTAGGCTGAAGCCTGCGTGTGAGAATTACCACAGTTTTATGCTCTCTGACAATCGCAGAATATGCAAGACATTTACGAAAGATACATATAGATACCTATTTGCTTTCCTTTGTTTTGTTTTTTTAAACTGCATCTCTGAGTGCTTTTAAGACAATGCCATTTCTTTTGAATAGAAACGTGTGAAATTTCTTTCTGCATACATTAAAAATATTTGATACATGATTATAGAGTCAAGCCAAAAGTAGGCAAAAATAATGAACTAGAAATAATAAAACACGATGTGCATGATGGTTTACATAAACACCAATCATTATAAGTTAACCCTTTCCCCATCTAAAGGTAAACTTATCATAGTTTTAAGTCATATAAACTCCTAGATGACAATTTCTACTCCAAGAAAAGTTTCGTTCATCAATAAAACTCATCCAAATATAGCCTAAACCTCTAGTTATAAATTATTCAATATTACTCATTTTAAATTATTTACAATGTGACAGGAATTAATTCAGCCTGGAGTCATAGAAAGCTTTTCAGAAATGTTGTCAACACGTGTCTTGATATGCGTAAATATATCAGACGCCAATTCTCCAACAACTGTATAACGAGATTTATTGAAACTGAAGATATCTTGCAGTAAACCCATTACTTGATCCTGCAAAGGAAGAAAAGATATATTATTTTTCTGCTATAGTTTTGATCTAAAGTCAAAAGGGATATTTGAACAATGTAAATAAATTAGAGATCTTTTAATACTTACTCTAAAGTAATAGCAAACTTCTCTCAACTTTTCATCTGGGCCGAGAAATCCCCAAGCCATTAAAGGAGACATGTGCTCAGAGATAGAGTAAAAATGAGCCATGAAACCGTAAGGGTATTTTAGCATTCTTCTCTTTGCCTTTAAAACAGACCACACAGCTGTTGCTAACGCCTGTCAAAAAAATGGAGATGACTTAAAATGTATCTAAGATATGACCAAATGCATTAAATGAGGAAAAGTTGATAATTTACCGTTTCTTTAAATCCATTAGAGAGCCATCTGTTCTGGATGACTGCTGTTACTGATGAAGGAGGGTTGTCAAGGTCATCAAATGCATCCATTAGTATATAATCCATCACTACATCAAAAAATGTCATAGCTTTCACTCCTTTCAAGCTCAGCTCTTTCTCTACATCTTCCCAGTGTTTTAATTCTTGTAGGAATTCGAGCATTTCTTCATAGGCTACGAGGAAGTCTTTTGGATCCTGACATACAAAGAAAAATAGATAGACCAGTCCTCTCAATTACTTGATTAATTTGAATTGGTGGTGGGAGCAAAAGTTTAGCATAATTTAATTTCAAGTACATCAAGTAATTTTGCTCAATTGAATGTTTGTATGCAATAAAATTCACGAAAATTGGTATGGCAGACAACTTACCTTATCTGCAAAAAGCAAGAGGTCCACTAACACCTGCCGGCCAGCATCTGCACACCACTGCCAGGTTGAGTGGTCGAGGAATAAGTACTGGAATGCTAAGCGAACACAATGCAGCTTGCTGAGGTACTCTGTGTCAGAGTTGCAGTGCACCATTTCTGTTCGAAGGCACCTGAAATATTGATTACAGAACATCAACATTAATAAACAAAGTTAAAACCACAAGTTTAGTGAGTGTTGACTTAAAAAGCTGTTCATACCTGTGCGGAATACCTCCTTCCTCTTCCAGCTTTTTGAGGGCATCTTTATAAAGAGGTAAGGTGTCAAGTCCAGGAAAGGTGTCTTGAAATTCGTCAAGCTCTCGCAAATCTGCGACCTGAAACAATTGACATTGCACTGAGTTCCAACTTCAACAGAAAAATTTTCATGGACAAGAC